CAGCTTCACATTATAGCAATCAGATGCTGGAAGCTTTTGTTGCTACTGACCTGGAACAAATCAATGTCCATAATGGAAAAGCAGTATACCGTATCTGTCCCCAAATTTATTCACCACTGACTTTCCCATAGAAATCAATACTTTTTAACAAAACTAAAATGCAAGACCCATCATGTAAAATAAACAGATCCTACCCACAATTCTTAACTTCTATAGAGCTGCCACCTTGGACCTACTACAGCTGCAGAACAGGAATTACATGACACTTCCATTTAGTCAAACCTCTTCTCAAGTCACTTGTCCTAGAACCTGAAAATCAACTGCATTTCTGAACAGGCATAATTATTGACAAAATATTGCTATTAAATATCCATTTAATACTAATCTTTGTAAATTTACAATAAGATAGTGATGAAAATTAAAATATACAGAGCCCAAGCTGGTATTTAGTAGCACGTTCCTACATTAGAGTTACAGGATCAGGCTCCCAGTGCTTGATAAAATTTAAACACATTTGTTTATACCAATAAACTATCAGTCCCAGGTAGTATGTCTGGCTTTCAGTGTTTGTCAAAACTGCGGTTTAGAGCTACACTTCAAAGCTCTAAGCTCAAAGTATAAAATACATGTTCTTACTAAATTAAAGCTAATGCTTAGACATTTGTGATCACTGACTGGATGGATTAAAAAAAACAAACCACACACCCCAAAAACACACCCAAAATAAAAACCCACAACTTTTGTAGTCTCCAAAACTAATTATTTACTTCCACACATTCACAGTATATACACAAAATCACAACAGATACACTCTTTTTTTTTTTTTTAATAAGAACACCAATGTAATGAGTTTTACAACTCAGGGAAGCTAAATTTCCTTAAGGAAGAAGCTGTGTAAACTTGCACATCCCTAGAGCAATAACATGTTAGAGGGATACCTACCTGCGAGACCCTTGCCGCAGTCTGGAAAGATTTGAGAGAGCAGAATCTGACCTCCCCTAAAGGCAGGAAGAAGTCACCCTCACCCCTAACTGACTGGAGGGAGGGCTCCCACCATCCTGAATGAGAGCAGGGAACAATCCATCTGTCTGTATCTTATGGAAGTTAGGAATAAGAAAACACTTTCTGAAAAAATCCACAGACCATCCTGATTTTAGAAAATGCCAACACATTTTCAAAAAACCACAAGAAACCAGGCTGAGTTACTTTCTGTTGTAATTCTTTTTACTTAATAGCCTAAGACACCAGTATTGTAAGTTAAAAGGGACAATAAAAAGCCAAGACAGGTAACTGATAAAACAACTAACCTGTTCTCAACAACTCAGTTCTATAACAGAGAGGATAGCTGTGTAAAAGGGGAAAGGGAACCTTTGATATAAAATCTTATAAGTAATATAAAATTGAAAAACAACATATACTACAGCTTTGCCTGGTGAACAATCCTTACTGTCAGAGCAAGTGGGGATCTAGATGAAATTTCTGAGACTAATTTCTCTGTTGGCCTGTTCATTCCTCAGGATCCCTAGTGGATCCTGGACAAGGTGGATCCAGACTTCACAGGACCCAAGTAACATCAGTACTTGTAGGGTCAACCTTGTTTGGGTGGAAGTGACTGCACAAGACACAAAGCACTGTAGAATCAGACCCCTAGTCTTTCCCCTTCCCTCAGAAGATAAAAAAGTACAAGTACCTCATTAAGACACATGATCATCTCATACACAGGCCTGTTCCAGCAACCCTAATACTGCAAAGTCTCCCTGTCAAACAAACTTCAGCCCAGTCTCAAGGCACGACTCAGTTATCTTCAGCGTCATCTACAGTTCAACACAAGCAGAGGCACAGAAGTTCCAGCCCACCACCACCCCTCAGACAGAAAACAAACTTTTTCTGCACCTTACTGTGGGCTCAAGCACAAGTTAATTTAGTCTTAAAAGACGGGACACAGAAGCAGCCAACTACACTACAGCACAAGCCAGCAAATCCCCTGAGCTCAGCTCTTTCTAGGTCAGTGTGGACACATCACACCTCCGTTACGGCTAAGTCATACCTAGTGAGGCAGAGAGCATGCAAGCAGATCAAGGGTTCTGTGTGTTTAGGGCCTCAGTCAAACCTTCTCATTACCTTGTAGCAAAGACACAATCAGAATGTGGGTGCAAGACAACTACAGGGCTGGTTTTAAAGGACTGCTACCTGACAAAAGTTTTTTTTAAAAAAAAAAAACAAACAGGAGGGAAAGGGAAAAAAAGAGTGGAGCCAAATACTCAGCTGGCACAAACTCTAACAGCCCCAGGAACTAGATCGACTTATGCCAGCAGAGCTCCTGCCCTTATGGTCTGATTCACTCCTCACCAGCAGGCTTCCACATGAAACAAAGATAGGCAGAAGTTAGACAGCTGACATTTCAGCCACAGCAGTTGTCTCCAGAATGTCAGCAACTACAGTACCTGCTGCTTTCTTCTCGAGCAACCTCTCTAATCTTAATCTGCAACTAAAGTTAACGCTGACTGGGTTTTGTGTGGTTTTTCTTAATGAAAAGTACTCCCCTGTTCTGCTTGAGGAGTATGTTTTTCAGACATCAAATAAGTTTTTTTCAGACATGAAATACATTCTTCGGGCATGAAGTTCTATGAGCTCGGTGCTCAAAAATAGTGAATAGGAGTTACGAAACTGCTTTAACTGCTTCTAAATTATGCATCTTTGTGACATATGCATCTTCACAGCCTAACGCTGCCCATGGGCAGGTAAGTATGCACCTCCAGAGAAAGAAGGAAGAATGGTAAGATGCTTGGGCACAGCAGTTAAACATTCAGGATCATTCTGTCTCAACTGTAATGTGAATGCACAGTTTATGCAGTGTATGACCTGTCAATCAGAAAAGAAGATGGAGGCTGAAGACAAGATATGACCATCCAAAGACGGGCAACCTTCTCTTTTGTCAAAGACTGTAGAAGGCCACTCCAGAAAGTCTTACAGCTATTTCAACATACGAACACCTCTCTCTCTGCAGCAAAATTTCAATGCCTATTTTTAAGCCTACACAGCACAGCCCATATCTCTATCTCTAGTCTCCCTTAAGATGGCAGACATGATTGACAACAGTCTGAGCTAGCAAAAAAACCCCTCTAGAGCAATGGGCTTTCTAGCCATATAGATAGCAGGAAAAGGGGAAAAAGCACCAAACCAACTCACAGATCATTTTCAAAAGAATATCAGTGGATTGTCACATCCTGACCTGAAATGGTCCAGTGTTTAAATGATAAACATCCATGGAGACAACCACAGCCAAGAAAGAAGTTTAAAGAATCTGTATAAAGGCAAAAGCTAATCAAAGATACACGAAAAAATCCCACCTTTGTTCTGTGCCTTTTTTGCTGAAAGAATGTGAGACAAATACAGATGTGTGACAAAGTTTCCAACAAAGCTCCAGTCAATGGTTGAATGTTACTAACAAGGCTACTGAGCTTCCATTTGCATGGCAGGGACATTTTCTGCATTCCTTCACACATTTATTTGAGTAAATTCACTGATCTGCATGGAATTGCTCTTGAAATCAGCATAACTGAGAGCAGGTCTGTTGTACTTAATGGGTGGTTCCTTCCTCTCCTATATAGCATAGAAGGAAACCCTTCAATAGAAAGAAAACGGAATTAAGGATGAAACACAATTTTCTGGGTAATGAAGGTGACTAAAAACATTGAATGAGATGTATAATGAGGATAAAAGACTTGAGCAGAGAGAGAACTAAATGGAAGAACCACATCTGCATGTTCTGTGTTGCCAATATGCCAAGACTGTATCTGGAGTCAAATTGTCTCCAGAGCCATTTAAGAAGAGAGTCTGCAATGCAGTATTTCAGGAACAAAAAAGGAAAATATAATTTCAATTGCCTGAACTCATAGCCTTTCTCTAGTGTTGTAGAGGGACTGCAGCCAGCTACAGCATGACTTAGTGTGCACACCATTGCAGGAAAGACTTTCAGGAGCTTTCAGTAAAGTGTAGTGGCAATAATGGAGGAAAGATCAAGAGAACCAAGCATGAGACTTCTTGGCTCAGAGATGACAATGACAGTCTACACTTCTCCGGAGGGTGTGAACCTCAAAGAAGAAAAAAAGTTATGAAGGATGGCACACTAACACAGGGCATCTGTAGGAGCAACTGAGGAAAATGATGATTAGGAAAACTCAAGGCTGAGAAAAGGCGTCCCAGAGAAAATACTAAATAATTCTTGTTTCAAACAAGACAGTTCATCCTTTTTGGTGCTGTGGGCCAGCTGGCACTGCAATGACATCTACATCAGCCACATATGAAAACAGAATTTGCCATCAGTCTCCTGGACCCCCAGCCCACATGACTGTCACACCCCCCTTCCACACACAGAGGAAAACTAAACTGCTAAGTTTCAGCACCTTCCTGGCGTGATCATTCTTCAACCCAGTTTTAAGCCATGGTAGAAAAGGCAGTGGGACATACAGTATTGTCCTGGGGTTATTAGACAGGCACTCTGGTCTGGGTTAAAAAACAAATATTCTAAACTGACAAATACATGCAGAGGATGGCCTCATCTGAACTTCCATCTGGTGTTTCTGCAGTTGTGGGACCAGTAACATCTTATTCTCCCTTTAAGTGAAGTGCTAAGGTGACTAATAAACACTGGTGCCACATATGAGCCATCACAATCGCTGTGCCCAGGCAAATGCTTTCTGCACTTGCTTGGGATGTTCAGTGCAACGGACACTGAGGTTTAGATCCAGATTTGAAAGTTCAGTTCCAAACAAGCCAAGGAGCAGCAGCACCAACACTGTAACCACAAGTCATAAAGGCTGCCGCTCTGTTCAAATCTATTCCTTTTTACCTATCTTAATCTGTCCTGCAATACATTTCTGCAGGTGTGTTTATGTGTGAATAAAGAACCTTGAAGGATCAATGAGACATTCCATGAATTATTTCCAACCAAAAAAACGAATTATGCATGGAATAACAGTCTTTGCTGCTTCTCTCACCTCCATCCTGAAACTTGCTCAACCTTTCGAAGTATGATGATATAGGAACTTGAACAATATCTAGAATTGCCAGCAGCGTCCGGGTCAGTCTGAGAAGCTCACTAAAACTATAAAAGCCAAAGTATATGAGGTTTCGAGCCAGATGTACCACCTATGAGAAAAAGAAATTAAAAATGAAGGAAGTATCGGCAATCTTTGTGGTATTTGGCTGTGCAGTACGGCTGCATTTCACACAGCAGCTTTCACACAGATTCGGATCCAGAGTGCATACAAATTAGTACAAGTCTTTCCGCTGATTTAAACAGGTCTTGGACTAATGCCAGTGACATTAAATGTTTTTCAGAGTTAGAAAAAACAATTGGTCAGTCAAATTACAACAGAGACCAAAACCAACCTGAGATTTAGCAAGGCTTGAAAGGATACAATTGCATGTGGGAAAATATATAAGATTGAGAAGAAAGACTCCAGCAAATTGTTTAAAGAGGCAGCAGCTGTGGGGAAGATGGAAGTCAGAAGAATAAGACAACTGCAGTAAGTTTGAATGGAGGTGATTTCAGAAGATCAGAGGCAGGAATGACAAAGCTTGAGAGGCAGGTTGGAGGAAGAACTGTAACAGCTGTAAGCATTTCCCCTTTATTCAATGTTATTTGAATCTAGAAGATTTAGGCCTATCTAAAGTTTCTGTCAGGAATTTCAAACAATATTTAAAACACAGGATTAGGATATTCAGAGCATTTCCTTCAGTGTCATATCTTACACAGAGAATAGTACTTATACCGAAGAATCCCTGCATCCTAATTCACTAACGTGGAGAGAAAGGGCACATGGCCATTCACCCACACACATCTCTCTGCTCCTGCCACCAAAACACAACCATCTCAGGAGAAGGAAGGAAAAATAAAGCTTCTTGACAGCAGACAGTAATATTATTTTCTGCAGTAACAATCATCACTGAGAACACTGGAATTAGGAATTGGTGCTTCTTTAGAACATTTTACACCAATATTTATTCTGCAACTACCTTCATTTTGAAAGAACCAATGTCAGCTTATCTGAAATGAGGAGAAATATTGTAAATAGGATGCAGATAGCTGAGAAGTACCTCAAATGTAAGTTTATTTTTCTCTTTGTCTCCAAAAGGAAAGGGCTGATTTACAACTTCTTTCAAGTACTCTTCTACAAATTCCATAGTTAGCGCAAACTTCCTCTTCATTTCATTCCTCGAAGAGTCTGTGAAAGAATCATACCTACAATGCAAGGCACAGAAAGAAGGAAAGTTAAACAGCTCTAATATCAGGATCATCTGTCACTACAGAAAAAAAAAAAAACAAACCAACCAAGATGCTATGAAATTACTGTCAGTTCTCTGTAAGGAGAAGGGGTAGAAGTCAGCTGATTCTTCATAGATACACAAAGAGGATGCATTAACCTTCCCTCCAACAGTACCAGGAAGGGTTGCAGTGAACAGGAATAACAGAGACAGGAAAATACTACGGTTCTGGCAGACAGCGTTCTTAAATTTTGCTGTGGCAATACAATAAGTAACTAAGTCTCAGCTGTCCTCTCTACCCATCAGCCAGAGGAAGACAGCAGATCAGGAAAGCAGCTCAGGACAGGTAGCTTCCCCCTTTGCACCACCAACTAGGACTGACTTTTTCGTATATGCCAAAACAGTCCTTCATCTCGCTAACAGAAGCAATATTGTCTGCTGCACTGTTATACTTCTTCCTTTTTGTCTCTTCAGCCAGATACTCCCTGTCTGGGTCTAGCCCAGTGGCGCTGCTCCATCAAATCAATTAAGCCAGAGGAGGTTTCCACTGAAGTCAATGGGTCCTTCTCCCATACTTAAATTTAACATATGCTTAAGTACTTTGCTGGATGGAGGCCAAAGTCTCTGTGAACTTTTTCTGGGGCAACAGCTGTACCTAACAGTAAATTCTGGCTTTCCAACTGCAGCTTTCAGTTGAGCTTCAAGTATAAAACTGAGTTCCACCCTAGCAAACATGTAATGTTAGACACAACTGGATTATTTCAAGTTCAGGTCGTTTGAGGAAAGGCCATTCCATTTTTCCCCAGCTTGCTCCTTATAAGAACATAGTGAAAAATGAAATATTTCCATATAAAGCTACCCATGGAAGTTTCCAAAAGTAACAGTAATTAATAGCTCTGTGCTCTGCAGCAAATACTGTTTCACGTACATGTGGTGTCGACATTAGACATCTACAACCATTTTGTTCTGAGACTAACCCTTACAAAATGCTTTTGTACTTTAGTTTGAAACACTTTCAACTTACTCATGAATTGTGATCTTAGTAGGAATTTCAGTCCACAATCTGGCATATCTGACAGGTACCACAGATTCCTGAGGATCTCTGTCCACATGCATGTGTAGCATCAGCCGACAAAAAGAAGCCCGGAGATCATAAGGGAGGCTTTCATCAGACATACATCGTAGGATCAAGTCCACCGACAGCTGTGCAGAAATCTGGTTGATGGCGAGATACTGGCGGTCCAGGCACATTCTTGCAAAGAGGTTCAGTTGGTACCTTAAAAAAGGTAATAACATACGGTACTCAAACAAATCCGTTGGAAATAAAACAACATACCTCAGACTCTCACTTTACAAGCCTGATGTCAGCCTCTCTGATATAAACCCTAAAACATAACAAGAGTGACTTTGCTAAGCAAGGGATGAGCTTGCCATTGAAAATGCTAACTTTGGGCTCCAGACCCCATGAAGACTGGGCTCCCTTTGAAACTCAAAGGAAGCATTGTTCAATAGAAGGCTGAAGCATCTGGACTATTTGTCCTCAATCAGTGTAAGACACTGTTCCATGATCCCATTTCCCTTCTAATCCTCAGGACACTCCTTCCTCAAAGCATGCCTTGCTTCCAGAGCAAGATAACCTAAAAATAAAGGCCAATAAATAAAAGGTAAGAGGCAAAATGATAGAGACACTAAGAGCTGTCATGAGCAAAGGAAACTGAATATTTGTCTGGAATAGATGGCAGAGATTGTGATGCTTCCTACAGGAAAAACTTGAAACAAACTTTTAAACCCAGTTTCTGGCATGACCCAGTTTCCTTTTTTGATATTGGCAAATGAACTGGATGAGAACAGCACCAGGGTTGTCAGACAGTTTACATTTTCTTCCACTTGAATAAGCAGTTTTACCTGTAGTAGGTAAGAACTTCTAAATCAGCTTTTGTGCCCTCCTTCGCCTCCTGAGCCAGATGCCTGATGGCTTTGCCATGAGGCTCCTTGTTACTGTCAATCCAGTAAAGCCACACTTCCTCTTCATCAATGTCATCCGAGATGACTGGGCATTCCAAGGGATTGTCCATTTGCGTTGAAACCAGCCTGCAAGCACAAACCATTCACAATGGAGCCACTAGCAAACTGCTACAAATATAACAACAGAGCAGATAACAAAAAGGTATGTTCCAATTACGGATGCTCACTTGGTCTGAATGAGAATGTCAGCATTTCCTGGGCTCAGCATAAACTTGCAGATAAGTTCCTGAGTTACTGGTATTGCTGTGGTGTTAGATACACACAGATCCGATAGATAATCCAAGAATCTGCAGTCAAAAAAACAGATTCAACAGAACATGAGACTTAAAATACCACACAAAAACACCGCAGTAGAAATCTCTGGCATCCATCACTAATACACTCAAGGGACCCCATATCACAAGGTTTATCAACATACGATCTTTGCCAACTCATACTCCTGCAAATTGCAACAGATAAAGATGAGTAATAGAGTTGAGAGCCACCCTGAATGGTGCTAAACAACCAGTAAGGGAGAGAGAAAAAATATCCCAAGTGTGACACTTCTAAGCAAATCAAAGGCCAAAGAGTTGTGCCAGAACTTAAGAGCAGCCTGAGGCTGTCTTAGGTTTGGCTGGCAGGGAAGCTCCATTGAAGTCCCTTGTCCTTGGCAGGAACCAAAAGCAAGAGTACACATTCTCCCCCATCAGGTAACACGCGTCTCCCTAACCCGAGTAGTGAGGAGATGCTACGTGTGCTGAGATAGCCGTGCGCCCTGTGAGGAACTCCATTGCACCGGAGGAGTCCATGCCTCCACCTTTTAAAGGTGCCTTTTAAAATCTCTGAAGTGACACAGCCAACAATTAGTGAAGACTGAAGATCTGGCATGACCTGAAGACAGGAACTCTGTATTCAAAGAGGTCATTCCACATAAAGCAGAATAACAAAGCTTTGCATGGAAATCACTTTCCTATGAATTTGTTTCTCAAATTTAGGTCTTCTGATGTTTAACAAGGTTCAGGCTGAGGCTTTCCTCGCAGTTGGGACATTCATTAGATATCTGTTTCTTGTCCCTCTTTCATAGATTCCTTGTGTCTATTAACCGTAGTCCATATTGCAGCCTTTGCCTCACTGGAATATAAAAAGGGCCTCCTCCCTCTATGTAGCTGCTTCTTTTCATGACATTCATAGGAACTGAGGATCTCTGAGCCCACCACTCCTCTAGCAAATGTAGCTAAAACTGGGCAAGAGGCTCAAGAGCTGGTGTGGGAGCAGATATGAGCAGGCACACACATACACAGATCATATACTTCACTTCCTCAGAAATCCAAGTAAAAAATTTGACCATCTACTATCAGCCATTCAAGGATCAATGAGTAAGGGATAAGTACAGAAAGCATTTTTAAGGTACACTTAGGAACAATTTTACCCATCACTGAAATGAAGCTTTGTGGCAATAGGTGATTAACAGTGTACAGAAATATTGTGTCGCAAAAATAATATTAAGTAAACAGCACATAATTTCACAGAATTCTGAAGGAGTTACCTAGTTGGAGCTAAAACTCAGGAAGGTTTTAAATTTTGTAGCTCATGTTTTAGAGCATACTGCCACAATTCTTACTCCATGAGCAGTGCTGCAATAGTCTACGAGACTCTCCACGAAAATAGGTGTCATAAGATCAAGCCTTTACTGTTCAGATTGCACCATCTTGGCAAGGTTTATTTTTTCAAACACTTACTGCTCTTGGACTTCAGCCTTAAAGAAGTGAATACACAGCAGTTGCACAATGTAGTTATGCAACAAATACTATGATATCCTCCACCACAAAGAAAAAGTGACACGAGATTGTCAATAAACACTAGGACCCTTCCGCACTAAGAAGGAGCTGATCTTATGTGGTTTCCTCTTAGTACTGACCAAACCCAACAGTTTAGCATGGGAGAGGCAATGAGATTACAGAGTGAGGCAAAACGGCTGCAGACATATAGAGAATAATTGAAGCAGTGAAGCACCAGGGCCTTGAGCAGTATCCTTAATCGCTAACAGAAAAATGGTATTCACAATTACAGAGGATGTTATTTGGCCTTCAGTACATTAATTTCCTATATTTGTATTACTTCAGTAATTTTATAGCTGAAAATCCAATAAAAAAATAGATAAATTTTCCATTTTAAAAAAAAAAATCCATTTCCTTTATATTCTGACCTACAGCTAATCAAAAAAATTTCCAACTCAGTGAAGTTCAAGGCCAGAATTTTTCATTTGGAACAAGATCTGGTGTAGGACACATGTTCACTGAGATCTTCATTGCCCTAGGCCCCTTTCAGGTCTGACCAGCAATCAGAACCTCCAGGAAAACTGATATTAATAAAAGTTTAGAAAAATTGACATCTGTGTAATTTGCACCAAGATTTTATTAGCAGGGGAACCAACACAAGTAGCAATTTCACAGAGGAGCTGCAGAGTTACAAGAAATTAAAATTTGTCTGTTTCTTTTTGTTCCAATCTGAACTAAACCCAAATTTTCAAAATTGTCCTGTAAAGTATAAATTCGGTGTTCAGTAAGCTCCAGTTCTGAAATGCAGGTATAGTCAAATCCCAAGAATTACAGGTAGTTCTGGCATTTTCTAGTGTGACACTGTACATGTGGGTTTTTTGACTGCCAGGTGAAAAAAAACAAACTAATCTGAGAGAAAGAGACAAAACAATGAATAGCAGGCAGATTCACAGCTACTGCAAATATAAAAGCCTATCAATACAGAAAGAGAATGTTACATGGACCACTTCAAACCTTGGCTCTCGATTTCTCCTGAGTAAATTAACAAACGTCTCTATTTCTTTAGCCGTGATGTGTTTCTCTAGCAGTTTTCTGTTGTTGTGCAACAAAGCTGTGATGGTGTCTTCTGCCAGGATATCATAACCAATCTGGGACTGCATGACGCAGAAGTTCTTAGCAATGTATTCCTGAAAAATGAAAATTCCCATGATGACCTGTTAAGCAGTGATGTTTTTCTTTCAGAACCATCAGCATCCAGTTCAATTAACAATTAAAATAACCCCCAAAAAGAAGAACACCTGAAGAACATCTGAACACCTAAAATATGACCAAGAAACAGATACAATATTAGGGACGACTAAATCTTCTTATTCTTCCATAAACCAAAAGAATGAATCCATGAAAATACATACAAAGTTCAAGAAGTGGCAACCAACTTTTTTAAAAGGAAAAACCAAAAGGTGTTTATAATGTTTAAGCAGCTTCCTTTCCTGAGTCTTACCCTCCTCCCTTTCTCTCCCTCCAAGACAGAAATATTTCTGCAAAGCATTAGAAAGAAAACACAGAAGCCACACATAGCAGTTCAATCTTTTATCTCTAGTTCCTTTAGTCCTATAAAGTTAGTGCAGCTTTTCCCCACTGCAATGTGCAAAGCATTCGACCTGCCATGTTCCGAAACACTTCTTGCTGACGGCGAGTCTCCAGCTGTAGGAAATCAGGCTATTTGATAGTAACCTCTGGTCTGACTCCATGCCATCCCTTTACAAATACTTAATCAACAGAAACAGACAATTTTGCAGGCTTCCCACTTTATAATCCAGAGTCCAAGAGCATCATTTTAATAACAGAAAGCTCATGAATGAAACAGTGAACTCCAATCTCAGTCTGAGCCTGTGAAAGTACAAGGTGAACCTATGATATTCATTGCTGATCATTCAATTCATACACAAATGCCTACAAAACAAAAAACACTGCTCCTCAGGTGAGGAATTATATGACAGTGACTTCTTAGTACTCACCTACACAAAACCCAATCTTTTCACCAGCACCACAGAATCCCAGTTCTAAGTGCAGAGAATGTCAAACTCAGGATATATAATTACAGAAATCAGGAGGAAAATTATCTTGAATACCACTGACCTGGTTCTTCCTATAGTCCTGTTGGGAATGTCTGAGAACTCTGTAACATAACCTCAACATGTATTTGTATGGGGCATATCTCTGGTCACCTAGGTCTTCAAGTCTCAGCATCGATCCTTCACCTTTGTCTTTAAAAGGAGCTTTGAGGATGCCAAATATCTGTTCAAAATCAAAATCACTGAGAATTGAAATGAAATCAAGATTTTTGCTTAACTTACAGCAGTCAATGGAAATGTCCTCTGACAGGATCAGCACAAGGGCCTTATTGACCAAAGTCAGAAGTGAATCACTGCACTTATCCACATATGACTTAAATACAAGTGGAGGCACAATCTCAGACATTACAGCTTTATGCATTTAGCTTTACATTTCCTACCAACTTGATTTACATTGCTTTCTCTTTACTGCTATCCCCAATTTTAAACATTGTTAGTTAAGTACCTTAACTTTGGATAAAAGAAGGATGAAAAAGGAGGACAATACTGGCTGCTGTTCAGTTTCATCCTTTTCGCCTTTTTTTTAAAAAAAATTCAGTAGGCTACTTAACAAGAATATTAATTTTGATTTACATGCAAGTTGGCCCTCATACAAAGTCATAGATTCATAAGGGTATTAGAATTTTTCCTATATGGGGGACACTTGCAGGATTGGACCACTTTGCAAGCTTGTTTCAAATTCTGCCAACCATTTGCTAATCAGATATACTCTTAAAAGTCATCAGAATCACATGAAACTAACAGCTCCCAGACACAGCCCCTCATGCTTCTGATTCACAGGCCAAGAGGTGAGCCTTGACTAAGTAGTGTTGTATCTATCCAATCCAACCAGACACAAGCCCAACATGGCATAAGCCAAGTTACCCAAAATTAACATTTTCTCAAATCACTCTCTCCTACAATCTGTTTGTTAATACAAGTTGTTAATACAGAGGGATATACCTGAGCCAATATATTTTGTTCCCTCATTAATTTTTGTCGTTCCCGGTTTGGCTTGGTAATGACCACATCCAAAACTTCCTGCCCATTATTAGGCACATCAGCAACAAAGAAAATAAGATCTTCCAGTAACTTGGTTACAAACCTAGAATGAATAGACAAATTATTATTATATACAGTCATTCAACACTTGTTAGGATTCGTTAAGAAAGAAAATCATCATTTAGAACAAGCTTTTTCTAGTGCAATGGAACTTCAATCACTGCAAAGTTAGGTTTGACATGTAGTTAAGGATTCCAGAGCTTGGTTCAGTTCAGAGGCTTAAATCCATCACAGGGATGTTTATCAAGGCATTAAACAACAACCAGAGGGAAAAAGGGAGAAAAATACAGGATGCTGGATTGACATAGAGTATTCAGAAACCCAAGATCTATACCAGCTGGCCTCAAGGCCCAGGAACAGCAGAAAGACACTGTTACGCAGCCTAGCAAGGATTTTTATACATTATCACAGACATGGGCCCGTGGAACAAGACAATGGACTCACTAGAAGAATAAAAACATTCTGCCACTAGATTATTTCCCTACTGACCCAAGAATCTATTGAAAAATGACTATATTTGTTTCACTTTTTGCTACACAAAAGAAAATTTGGCAGAAGCAAGTGCTAAAAAGGACAGAGGCAGAGGTAATTCCTTCTCTCTTACCTTCAGAAAATGCAAAACTAAAGAATACAAATGCAAAAAAAAAAAGTGTTCATTGTCTCCTTGTTACTAACATACCTTGCCAGGCATGCACAGAGAGAATTATGGATGCCCACAGATTTCAATGAATCTCCCTTAAAAGAACTAGCAATCTTTTACAAATGAAACCCAACATGTCTCCTACCCTGGGGGAAGTATCATCTGAATTTGGACAACTTCTAGTCTATAATTACTAAACCTTCTATGGCACGCTATGAAAGTGGCAGGGAGATGCCCAGCAGATTTTCAAAGTCATCTCCAAGAGCCAGCCACAAAGCTTCCATTACTCACAGGAAGGCTGGGCTAAACCCTCTGAGGGAGCTTTTAGCTTCAGAAGTCTCAGCCCACTGGTGAAGAACAGCAAGGTGTCCCACAACAGAAAAAGTAGAAAAGACAGACATAGGATGGAGCAACCAGGAATTAACTGTTGGGACCTCTACTTACCTAAGTGGGAAGGTGACAAGACAGGGAAGAGGGTTTTTTCCAAAGGAAATCACAGGAACAAACAAATAATGGCACTATTCTGAAACCACTCTGAAATGTTTTACGTGTGTGTTGTACCAATCTGTCAACATCAAGACCTGACAATACTGGGTTGCAGTGACACAGCAGTGCAAGTTTAATACATGGATGTCACACCTTGATTGTCGTAGGCCTCTCTGGTTCAACTCAATCACGAAATGGCCCATCAGCTTTTCAAGGCTGAGTACCAACACCCAGGCCATTACAGATCTGCCTGCTACGATAAATCCTCCACCTGATATTAAACCATCTGGTCTAATTGCTTCTGACAACCGACAGCAAAAATTCAGTTTCACCAAAAAATTAACATTTTCAGGAAAAAGCTGTATATGATGCATGGTGGAACAGAAGTTACAAATTCACACTGCCAGAGATGCTGTCTGATAGCTTAACCTCAGTCAGCTGAAAACAAATAGCAAACTACATCACTGGCAGTGGGATATATGTTGCTACAATGTACAACAAAACTCCTTAATTCAGGGGCGGGTGTGAAGAACAGACATTCTAATAGCACTACATCTGAAACATGGATGAATACAAAGGGTGAACACCAAAATGATGTAAAGTAGGAAAAGAGAACAGGGAAAAATAGAAATAAGAAAGGAAAGGGATTATTAGGGCAGCTTCTTGGTCACTCTGAGACCTCCTCTTATTGCTCTCGCAGCATGACTGTGCGGTACAGTGAACTCCACATGAATCAAGAGTCCTGCCATGCTGCCCACTGTATAGATGGCTTTCTTGCACATGAGAATCAAATGCAATGGAGCCCCATACTACAGCTCAGAAGTGGTTTATCAAAGGAAATTAAGACAAACACCTCGCATTTGACCAGGGAGCTACCCATTTATTTACGTGGCCAGTGAGTTGGGGAAGTGCTGTTTACTCCTATTTTGCAGGTGAGATACACAGACCAGCCTGAGGTGCAGCAAGGATGCTCTGACAGAGATGGAATCTAATCCCAAGCTAGCACTCTCAGCACTGAAGTGTCCTCTCCCAATTGTCTCTATGTCCACATGGATGTTACTAACTTACTCATTACTGTGATGTCATGATGTCATGAGTAACCAAACACCAATTTAGGAGGGAAAAAATTATAAAACTCACTAACCTCCTTTCATTCTGGGTTATTGTTCCATTCTCCAGCTTTTTAACAGTTGACGCTAGAACCTTGTTTGCGTCATTGGCAAAGTCCAAGTCTCTGACCTCAGACAGAGGAACTGATACAATGGCAAAAGCTTCCTTGTCCTCTTTTGTTTGGCACGTCCCAATCTGCAATAGTTTTTGGTTTAATGTGGGTAAGCAATCCTCTTACCTTAATCCTAATTATTATGCACTTTTTGTATGTTAGAAGTGAGATCGCCAGCAGAGAACTTCAGTAATGAGTTTGGAGTTTCAACCCCAAGATACATGTGTTTACCTTTAACATCACAGGCCTCTCTTCATCAGTATCTATTGGAATGCTGGTACTAGTGACCCAAGTGTTAGTGCATAAATGTCTCAGTCGGACATACGAGTTCCTAAAGGAGAACAAAGCAAATAGGTTAGATGGATCAGTCCTGAGCTAAAGTGGGCAAGGTGGAATGCAATGACCATGACATGAGACTTGAGGGCACAAGTCATACCAGCCACTCATAATAAAAGGGTGATGGAGACCTAAAAGATACTGTACTACCCTCTTCCCTTATCTCCTCCTTTCTCACCCAGAACAGAGCTGCAACAAGAACAAACAGCATCTTGGGATTATGCAGAATGCTGTTTTTAAGTATTTCTATAAGCCTCAGAGTAAAATATTCCTTAAAGAAAAAAATTTAAAAGGAAGGTGTTATAAAATCCCATCTGAGTAGAAATACATTTCATGAATAAAACCAATTCTTTCCTCATTATTTTTTTCTGCAGAGTAACGAACCCTTTCAAGCTGTCACAGCACAAAAGCCAGAAGGTAAAACTGACCATGGATACAGCTTCACCATTATGATCTGCAAACCCTTGTTCCAGGGAGCAAGCATTTACAGTACCAGTTCTCAACTGAAAATCAAGTGAACAAAGAGCAGACATGAGATTCTTCTAAATTGTTTCCATATGATAATCTGTGGTATTATCAAAAAGCAGAGCTGAGAAATCAATTACAATTTTTACTCTGAATTCTACTTTTTAAATATATTCACTGTGGTCTTCATTCACCCTCTCCCTTTCATACTGATGGCTTTGAGTATTCAAGTAAGCAAATTATCTGGCAAAACTTATCATAGCAAATACACTTGAAAGCTGTATACATCAGCATTTGTGGTTACCCAGCTTTAAAATTCACCCTCATAACAATGAGCCCCAAGTGTCTGCATGCCCATTCGGTCACAACCAACACCGTGTGACTTATCTAGCCAATCTCAGTTAAGCAACACAGTTGAAATTTCAAATATTCACAATTAAAACCCAGAAGCCATTTGCTGAATTCATTTGAATAACAAATCTGTTCAGTGGCACTTTTTTTTGAGAAGCCCAGTTCACCACACACTTTATTTCGTTGGGAACAATTCAGTTAGATCTATTAGCAGCACTGTTTTTTCAAACAGTGCACAGGGCTCAATTCTGTCCTTATATATATCTGTGCAATATTTAGCCCATTATTTTTCTCTTCATAGACTATCTTTAAGTGTCAGTTGTTTTATCCTTATAATTATTTTACCCAGTCACAGCAGCAGTATCATGTTTTATACATCCCTTGTTTATCCGTGAACACTCCTCAAATTTTAACTGAAGGATAATGCTTGGTTGTGTTTGATTTTTTTCTGCTTTACTCACCAGCATAATGCTAGGAAGAAACCCTGTCAATGCAGCGCTATTTTTTGCCCCTTTTTTTTCTTTTTACCTTGGAACCAGGCAATCAGCTCTCTGAAGAGTGGTGGCATCCAGTTCAAAGAGAGATGCGATGTCATTTCCATGTGGCACAGAGACCAAAGTATACATAATCTTCTCCCCTGCTTGGCGTTTCTTCTTTGAAGCAGGAAGGTCGCCGTCTCTCTGCTGATTAGGGACAAGGGTTATTTGCTTGCATCAGGGCCCATTATAAATTCTCCAATTACCTTGCGGACAAGTAATACATCTGAATTGTACTTTTTTCTTTTTTTTTTCCTTCCTTTTTTTTTTTTTTACATTCTAGTAAGAATGTACCATGACTGGCTTTGGAGTGTGTAACACAAAGGATGCTCTTTGCCCCAGGCACATGGGGTCTCAGACAGTCATTATAACAACAGCAGGTCACAAGCTACAGAGAGACTGCAGTACTGTATACATTATTACTTGACACCTACAACTTCAAAAAACCTGCGGTAGTTGCAGACCCTTCACTCCCAACAGATGTAACTACACAGTGCTGGTTTGGAAAGGGCCAAAGTTAAAAGAGCAGCACTAATGAAAACTGGATTTTTTTTGAAGAGGAGAAGGGATTAAAAAAGCAAGCAATTTGCCTAAATCCACTATTGTTTTATTTAAGTTTGCTCATTTTGCCCTCTTATATGGTCAGACATACAGCAGCACACTTTCCAAACAGCAAGAGCCAGAATATCTGCTCCATTAAGATCAACTTGTTATTGGAAGGGGGACACAGAAAGCATCAGTTAGATTTTATTGGAAATCTCACCACAGGCTGGTAAAACATTGGAAGCTGGACTCAACATAAGTCTCAGTTTGCCCACTGCAACTGCTGAAGTTTGTTCCCTTCAAGGAGTCTAGCTTTCAAGTGACAGATTTACAAAGCTGTGCCTCAAAAGAGGCGTGCGAATCTAAGGCGGCGATCTTCCTCCCATCATCTGCTGAAAGTCCGTGGGAATTTTGTGACCCAACACAACTAAGCGGCCATCTTCATCTTTAGTTTCCTGCACACCTTTGTCTTCAGACTCCAAATGCTACCTTCCCTAAGCGCATGTCTTTCCTTGAAGGAGTAATTCGGAGTCTGTACCCATAACCACACAGCAACCAACAGAATTACTGGCGTAAGTAAAAGCTGCTCCTCTGGGGTGTTGAGTTACACATATTACAAAAGACTAATAAGCAATTAAGAGACTGGCAGCCCAGGGCCCTTCATGTACACAAAATATATCATGGGGGGAAAAAGAAAAGAGGAAAGAAGAAAGCTAAAAAAGAAAAATTAAATGCTGGAAACCTGAAATACTATTATAATGATTTATAGCGCACCACTAGGGAAGAGATGTACAAAGCAATGTAAAGAGGCTAGACTGTACTCGGTTTGCATTCATACCTTGATTAAAGCCAAACTGTAAGGGATAATCAAGAGCAAAGCTTTGATTATTCATATTACCAATTGATTAAGCAACAAAATCAAGGATGAGTGAAACTATGTAAGAAATAGCTAGTTACCATCTCATTTCAAGGCTCTTTTTGAATGCTTCCAAAACATCCATTTTTTCATTATCAAGCCTAAAAAATGCCAGCTTTCATCCCATTACTTCTATGAAGGACAGAGGCAGTATGAAAAAAACAGGAAGAAATAATCTCAGAAATTTTTCTTAGGCTCATCTAGTGATTAGAGTATTGTCACTAGTTTTTGAGAGGAAGGTTTGCTAAGACAAAGGGGAATCATCTCCTGTGTCTTGCACAAGAGTAAACTCTTATCTGGCAATCCTCATGTCCTCCTACGTCCAAAAATATTAAACAAAATTGCACATAAAAACTTAACCTGCATGTAAGGATTGAGAAAATAGTCAAAATTTTTGTGATTTCCAGACACATTTTGTTTTACAAACGCAGGATGAGACTCAAACTGGAAAGGCAGGCAAACTATAACAGAATTCAGAAGCTCTTTAGCTTAATAGGTGTGAGTCCCCTATTTTTCAAATGAAAATCTACTTCCTAGATTTCCAAACAAAAATGGAAAACTGGAAAACCAGTTTAAAATTCAAGAGGTCTGTGAAGGGGTGAAAAGCACAGGATAGTTTAGAACAGCATCCAGACTTTCTGATATTTCCCATAACTTACATTCAAATCTAGTTCAGGTTTCCCAGAAACTACTCATTCTACTATAATTTCGAAACTGAAAAGACTGGTATACAAAAAGACAGGACATTTCATAATTTTATGTATTTTTTTTCCCTGAGGCTCTGGGAAAAATACAGACCAAAATATGAAACCATACTCTACTCTGTGTTATAAAGTTTTTTTATACTCACTCATGACATAATGTCTGACCATCCCTAACAGGTCATTATGTGCAGGTTTCCATGACAGGAGGCAAAGCCAAAGGCAGGTCTCCTGTGCTTTAGTAGTTCATGCTAACCATTAGCTCTCTGGAGAAGTTCATCCAGCAGTTTGGGGCTGACTCCAGCCCCTCACTACTCTCCCCAGCAATTGTATAGATGCAGTTGAGCAATGGAGTTGGCTCATCAGGCCTAAACCCCGCCAACCACGCTTAGCAGCTGTCAAATTAGAGCTGGCATATGAGCAAGAGCTGGTTTTTCATCTAAAAAGAAAGTTCACTTCAACAGAGGACAAGACAGTGTCTGCAACACTGCTACTGCAATGCAAACCTTAGTTGAGCAAAATCAGACCTGCACAAGAGCTGTACCATAGTTCCAGACTGGACTCCAGCACAAACCTCAGAACTCTCATTATAACGTTATTTTAGGATACCAAACACACCTCACAACCCAACCTGGATTACAGGTGTTAAGCACAAGTCATGGAAAAAAAATATGTAACAAGAAGTGACTCTCAAATTGACAGCTTTGAAAACAACTTATACATGGAATGCGTGAGAGAGAAATACTGTCATTACATATGAACATATGTGGATTTATATTTATGTCTGAATTTACATCTGAGCACATGTGCACATGCCTCTCTGAGAGACAGAATGCATGCACACTTGCTCACAGAAAGTTTCTTATGATTAATTAAATTTAGTAAGCAGTCATCAGAATCTGCACTTAACCAAGACATTATTGAATCAGTAGGTATGTCTATATGAGGATGTGGAAAGAAGAGAAAGTATTAGAATATTTCAAATTAATTAGACAATATGAACAGCTCAGGAAAAGCACTGCATTCCTAAGCACATGAAAACAAGATGACATATGCTCAGGTAAGAAACTAGCATACAGATGCAGCCAGCAAAACTGGATTCAATGAAGAGAAGGGAGGAAAAGAACTGTAAAGGGACTAAAATGCAGAGAGAAGAAAATTCAACTTAAAGCAGTATGAAGAGGAAGCCAATGAACAGTTTCAGAGATGTTGGTGATGTGGGTCAGTGACAGCCAAGGAAAGCACTCCCAAGACTTCTTAAAAAAAAAGGCAGGTGAATTACATGCTAGGAGTATAGAGAAGAGCAAGAACTGTGAGTAAAACAGTATTAGCAAACAGTAAATTGACTGAGAAAAAAAATTAGTTTTGATTGTCTCAAACTGCTGGTAAACTAGTGACAGGCTGTCACAAGTCAAATCAGATACATATCCAAGGTGAAGAAGGTCTCACTCTGTCATGCCCAGGTTAAATCACTCACAAGGATGAAGGAAACGCACATTCAGCTCCTCTTCTGCCTGGCAGGAGTTGGACCTACACCTTCCAAAAGAACAACTTGGTCCAAATCCCAGTTGGCACAAAGGTCAGCCTGCTCTGCCTAAAAAAACCTCAGCACCCACTTGGCTGCCAGCCCCCAAGTTGCCAGCCTCCTCCTGCAGCCATAAAGCAAAGATGGGATTTTGCCAGGAGGGGGAACTGAATATACCCCTACCACACAGCCAGTGGCCAGGGTGCTCTTCCAGGTGAGAATCTTCTAGGAAAGCAAAGGCTGAGAGTTCAAAAAAGGAGTCCTAGTTAGTGGAAATAAACAGCCATGTTGGTGAGGAGTGGAAATACTGATCCATGCTCACAGCAAAGTCCATAACTCCTGGGCCACCACCACTGACTTAGCAGTGCATCATACCAATTTAAAAAGAAGCTTAAAAAAACCCAACACAGCCATAATATAGTGTTTGCAATCTGAAGGGCAAATGTAACTGGAGACGAAACCTGTATTGTAATCAGAAACAAAATAATCAGGTACAATCAGATTTCTCTTTCTTGAGACTTGTAGCCCAGCGGATAACCCTTCTTCACAGCTCTTAATATAATTTGCTAGTAATTGTGACCTATCCCAGATCCCCATTATTCATCTCAATTGGGTATCACACCTAAAATTCGCAAGATTTACATGGAGTTTTGCTTACGGAGGGGGCTTCACTTCAACTGCAAAAAGCAATACAAAAACATGACAGACCTGAAATACCTTTTCTTTTAGAAACCCAATCTACAATTCCAATTGGTGAAGACACCTCTCATGGCATAGAGACAGACAAGGATAATACCCTGCTCCTGAATGAATACATTAAGCTGCACTACACATTTCAGCAGAAATTAAATTTAATAGCAGCCAGAGTTCGGAAAATGCCTGTTAAATCCAGTACAATGTGGTATCTCAATATGTTAACCCAGTTTAGGAGGCTCTTACAAAACCGGCATTTTCACAGAGTGGTAATGTGAGCAAAACTCTATAGGTTAGACGATTTAAAAAAATTCTATATGAAAAGAAAGTCGAGTGGCCAGCCTTGCTCCTGCACGTAATGAAGCCCTGGCAGACAGCACAGCAGTTAGCCTCCTGTAACACCTTCACTGTTGACTCATTTGTGAGTCATCGCATTTTTAGCAGAGACATCACGTTGCAATTCTGTTGTTAGGAGCCAGAGACATTCTGTAAGAAACAATGTATGCGTTTTCAGAGCTGATTCAGACCTGTGTGCAGCAGCAGAATAATAACAAAGTGCCAGCATCCGTGTCTCCCCTTCTCCCTGCCAGCCTCTCAAGTGGTCTGACTGCTGGCTTTATATAAGCAGAGACACTGCCATTTTAAAACCGATTATTTTCCTTTTTCTTTTCTTTTTTTTTTTAATGTTTTTCAGATTGTTTATTGCCAGTTTAATTCCTAACCAAGCCTTTAAAAAAAACCAATAAATTTCCCAAGTCTATTCTACTTTTTAAAACGGTATCACCTGTGTCTCACATTATAAAATTTTAATTAAACAAACTTAGTTGCTGGAAAGTAAAATAAAATTTAGAAGAAAAAAAAAATCAATGTGCAGTGTTTATCAGAAAAAAAAATCACCTGGCTTTGAGGCAAGAAAGAAAACTTTGCATTACAGAATTGTTTGGAATTCATAAATATAGGTAAACAGAAGTCAAAGGAGATACATCAAATTGCACCTAGATGTCTATGGTAGAATTGTCGACTTCTTTACAAGAAAAGTAAACGCATACCAGTCTCAATCCTAAGAAAAAAAAATCTCAACAATAGAAGCCAGTTTGGAACTGCTTAGTATTAGCACTCTCTCACGAAAATGCAGACAAATGGAGTTAAGGTACCTATCCAAAGACAGCCTTCAATACAAAGGTGCTAATAAATGCCAGGTTCCCAGCTGTTCTTGACATTTCCCCAATGTTTATAGCATTCTTCTGGATGCCGTACAGTTCTGTGATTAGAAATAATGGACTACTAGGCAGCATAAAACACACCAATTTTGGATTTAATGGGAACTGTAAGACAGAGCACTGCGTTTTAATGCATGATACACTACAGTCTCCTAGACTTCAAGAGATGAAGCAGCCTTTTTTTGATAAGGCCTTTAACTCACAGAACGGTTTTCCCATTAAAAAAAATCTTCTGGAGTTTAGATGTGAGAAAAATACGTATAAAGAATATTAATCCACTCATTGTAAGGCCAAATTTTACCAGAAATAAAAGTAGTGTTTCACAAGACAATTTGGCTGGCTTCTCATGAAGCAGCCCATAAATGAGCAACAAACTGCGCTCCAAACGTAGCTTTACTGCTTGGGAACAAAAGTCCCAGTGACTTCCAGTAATATTTATGTTCTTTGAAGCAAAAACCCTTTCAGACTTTTGAGTCACTTAAGGCAAGGCAGAAAAGATGCACTTAGGCAGAACCTTCTCCATTGCTGCTTCCTAAAATTCAGTTGCCTAAGCAACTGTGATCAGGACTTGCAAACCAGGCAATGAACATGCACAAGAAGCCCTATCGCACATTTAGGAGTTAAGGCTTGGCACAAAACGCACAGATGGCTGTGCTGCCTTTAAAACCCAGAGGACAAAAAAGGAGCTGGTACCCTTTTATCCAACACACTAGCAGAGAAAAGCAAAACAGGCTGCAGGCTGAGTTTCTTCCTTCAGTTGAAGGGATTCAAGTATACATCTCTTGTTTCCCTGCTACTCAGACTTCAAATTTTGCTGGGGTAGGTCCACTTCCACCTCCCCCTCTCAAGCAGATTTACTTCACAGGCAGTATTTCAAAATTACTTGCTTCAAAAAAATGAAAAAGATGCTTTTGCAGTGAATCAGTTAGGCAGTCACCTGGCAGAAGAAACACTAGATGAAAACCACGGAGCAAAGAAAGCATTTGTGCTCTAGGTTATGTGCATATTGGATACAAGACTGACATAGCTGGTCCTTAAAGAACTCCAAAGATAACATTCTTGTACTTTTGAGGGATAATTCAAAACACTGCATCATCGTAAAATAAAAGAAATTCCTGCATACAGATGTGAAGCTTTTCTGCTCAGTTGCTCAAGGTCAGCATGGAGGCTTAAAATAGCCATTGCTGACTCATGCTATTTCCAGCAAGACTATAAAGGGGTGACAGATCCAAAGGGATTTCTACCATGCTAAAAGTGCCTGTAGGCTTGGATTTACATGGAGGCGTTACCAAACAGCTCCGAGTTCTTTCACAACACATTTTTTCACAAGAAAGTGCTGACTGTGTAAACTAAAATTTCCACAGACACATCAGTTTTGATCACCAACCAGTTTTGATTAAATTTTCATAGGAAGTATTTGTCTAATCTGATTTATCTGGTCTGGGTTATTAGTTGAAAACAATACCCAGGAAGATTAAGCCAACCTATTACAGAAGTCACCTTTAACATTCACATTCAGATTACTCTTGTGCCTTCTTCATTACCCAGTCGAGGGAATATTTAACTATCTAGATGAACTCGAATTGCTACAACTGGAAACTCTATATCTAAATTAGTATAGTGTGGTACAATAGGATTGGATCCTTGGGGACGAGGGCCTAACATCTACCCTATATGCATTTTCATAGGTCTTACTTCAGACTGGCTGTAGTCTGGTTTTCTGCGCTGGGCACCCATGAAAGGTTGGGGCACAGTGGGTACATTCCCGGGGTGTGTGTATCTGTTTACTTTTATCCAACAGATTACAAGTGTTCATGCTCTGAGATTGCTCTGCAAAGTGGAGTGTCTTAAATAAGGAATAGTCTGGAGATTTGATTCAGAAGCGCCGTCATAACATGAACTACAATGTTAATGCAGATGCACATCTATGAGACGAGTTCTACTGTTCACAGAGCAAGAGCATGAACCCAAGCATTTCCAAGCAAGCACCCTACTCACTGGGGTATTCTAGAACTTATAAGCTCCAAGGGCTTCAAGTGTCATTCCAATACAGTGAGAAACAACTGGTAGAACTTCCGTATCTTCATGAGAGAGAATTCTCATTTCTCTGGACAGCTTAGCTGATATTGCTATATTACAATTAATATCAAATACCGGGAAGATGGAAAACCGATGTTGCCAACTCCTACAAAAGTCTCCATTTTTCTTAAAATTGCAGTTCTGAAAGCATGTGATCATGTAAGAATCTTGGGTTTCATTTAATGAAAAATAAAAAATTCTTTCCCATGCAGAGCAAAACTTGAAAATGTGTCCTCTTGAAGAACAAAAGCCAGCAAGCAAAGAGAAAGAAATTAAACTGATTTTTTCGAAGATGATCTCAGTATTTTCAAGGTAATCTCATGAATTTCCTGGAGGAATGATTCTTTTTTGGACTATTAGATGTCTCAGTAACAATAAGATTCCCTCAGGGTTTTAACTTCACTTCCTTCACACATTATAAACTACAACATGTCTGGCCTTACCTTGTTAGTTACAATTAGCTAGTATGCCCTTGATGTTGTACAAGGCAAAAGCTGTTGCCTCCTAGGCAAAGGGCATAAGGTCTTTGTCCAAACCATGCACATTGCAGCAAGAACAGCTTGAATCTTTGTGAAGATGTCATGCTAAAGTTGCCTGAAGTGTGGCAAGGCTCAGACTAAGTCTGTGCCTGAATATTTGCTTGCATGCATTCAATACAGGCAATAAAAAGAGTCTCAGCATGTTCTTAGATTTAGAGCCACACTTGACTAACAAATAGGCCTCAAGGGGGCTTGTCTCCACTAGCAGAGCCTCTGCATTGGTATCGGTACGTAAGTAACCAGACTGGCTTGTCCCTGGTTTTCTTGCTGAAGAGTGGGGGGCAGGTTTGCCATGAAGCAATACATCTGATTTGAGAAGAATTAATACATTTCATATCTGCAGTCACTGGGCAGAACAGTTTCCAACTAATGCCAATTTGATGCAGAATTTGAATGAGTTTCCTATCATTTGCCTTACACAAGGTAAAACTTTTTGCAACACCAGTTGTGAGTTGCACCCTAGCTTACATAGGACACAGAAAACAATCCCAGCAGCAGTAACATGTAAGTAAAAGGAAAGCTATGAAGGACCTTCATTGCATCCCCAACTGTATCAGGTTAAGGATACAGTATTTCCCAGATTATATGTAACATATAAATTCCACTTACCAAAGCTTTTCCTTCATTATTACCTTCTGGGTAGCGTGGGTTAAGCTGGAAAAGAAAAGAAGTCAAACACTACCTTGATAGCTTTTAGACATTTCAGAACTGGGCAGATAGGATTTGGTCCAGTTCTGTATTATGTATCCACCCTGCAAAAGGACAGTGGAGTATTTAGAAGCAGTGTGAGAACAAGAGTGTAAGAATTACTGATTCAATTTCTGACTGACTTCATGGGCTATGTCCTCACTTCAAAAAAAGTGCATCTTGCAATCAAGCTTGTTAACTCGAGAGGAATCTCAAATAACCAAAACCAGAGAGAATGATGAAAAAAGCACAGATAGTTACTAATCTAAACAGAGCAAGTTACAGTTACCCACACACATACACATGAAACCATTTCCAGGACCGACCTTCAGCAGATATATTGAGATAAAAACTAACAAGCTTCATGTCTAGTGAGATTTTACAGGAAGACAGTGAACTCAGAATAAACACATCTTTGAAACAGGAATGGCAATGCCACTATAGACAAGTGTTTAATTACCTTGTGATTCTGCTTAACCATTATTAACGGGGATAATATTTTCTATGTCATACCAGGATTATCAAGCATTAATTAATAACTTAAGTAGTATGAGAAGCTTGGATGAAAGTCACTATATAACACTTACTATTTAACAGTCTTTAATACAATTTTACTTTGGACAAGGGAAATATGTAGACTAGGAGATGAGGGATTATGTAGGCAGATATACACTCAAATAAACAAACACACATACACCCACTCACTGGCTGCACATGAAACCTTTCAAGATTTGACTTACATAATGTAACAATTTTGCCTCAATATTTACCATATTCCCTGACACAGGATATGCCATCAAAGCATTGAAAATGCTGAAGTGAAATTATTAGTTACATAAGGTAATTTAGTTCTTTGGCAACAACAGCATGTATACATAAGATAAGTACAGTCATTTTCTTGGCTTGACTTTGGCATTACCAGTGTGGAAGAGCCAGAAGTGAATTGCACAGGGCAAGCTGAACAAATCCCAGTAAAACTTTTCAATATCACAACATCATACATCTAACATTAAGCAGACAACTATTGTGAAGACTTTTTATTAAGTTGATAAGGTTTTTATTAATACTGTATCATTTATATCCCTTTACCCAAAAAAGCTAGCTCCTCTCCACATCATGAGCCTGAAGAAAGGAAAAAAAACTTTTAGATACTCCTAAAATTGCTGAAAATACCTTCCCTCTGTGTCATGACTTGATGTGCTAACACGGAAGTGACCAAAGGTTTATTCTCCTGTCTTCATTTCAGTATTTGCATTAGCCACTGTGTTACCCTGATAAGTCTCATTTAGAGAGCCTGCTTTACTCCCCACATTGACATCTATCCCAAATTTTGCATTTTGCTCCTCCATTACATTCTCACAGTCTCCTGCCTTCAACTCCCACCTACTTCTGTTAGACAGCAACAGGAACAGGAGCTGAACACTGAACAACAGACAACTAGGAGTTATACATTGACACATATATACATGTATACATATATATGTAACTGTTTTCATATAGTTTTGGTTTCTTTATAAGTTCTCATACTTCTTTCAGCATTTCATTTGTTCACCTGACACCTTAAAATAATTCCAGTTGCCCATTCTAACAGCCAAGCTGAGCTCTCTACCATTGGTCCTCCATCAAGAACAGAGAACATTTTCAGGCAGTGCTCCTTAGTCACAGCCGCACACAGTGGTCTTTCAGCACAGGTGCACAGAAGGTACAGAAAGGCTAAATTCTATCCTACCTTGCAGATTCTGGTTGTAAGCAAGTGAGATAAAGGCTGGCTCATCTCAGGTTTACCACTAGACTCAGCACAGAGAATCATGCACTCCGGACTGGATCTTCAAGTGGAATAAATCTATACTGTTTAATCAAAGGGCCCAAGTGAATACAGTTGTCTACCCAGTGTGAAATGGTCCTTGAATTCTGCTGCTCTTCAGCTGTTTGCTTTCAACATAATGCTGCTTTCTAAAAAAATATAGCAACAACAGGAGAAACTAGGCAAATCTCTCTCCCACGCCACTTCTTGACGACTTTGAAAATGACTAAACAGATTGCCCTCAAATTTCTAAAATAGTTCACTTGCGGACTGAGGCTGAGGGAGACAGAAGGCTCAAATGAAAAATGAAGTGCATCCTTAATGATGTTTTTTCTTGCCCCACTGTAACAGAAATAAAACTAAAAAGATGTTGTTTAGAGAAAGTTTTGAGATGCTGACGTTAAACCATAAACACAATGGAATGCAGTTTTAGGGCTGATGTTTATGGCCCCATTTTCAGCTGTGCTGAGCAGCTGCCACTTTCATTTTCATTTCAGCTGAGGTTGTTGGTCCTGAGCATTGCTGAAAATCAGACCATTAGTTATCATCCTATACTATATTCTCCAGGTAGAGGGGCATAAATCATGTAGTGTTGTATGTCATATTAGACCTATTCTGAGTCCTTTTCAATATCCAAGTACAGCAGAATGAGCTAAGGACACAGTCACAGTCTTAATACTCCAAAATCTATTGTTTTTTCTGATTTATGTAAGATCACCTCCATGTTCTTCAATAAGCCTCCAAAACAAAAGAATCCTTGAAAACAACAACATTAAAAATTTTTTGCCTTGTTGCTAATGAAATCAAGTAAAACTCTTTGCAGGTGTTTAGAAAGTAAGAATATTATGCTAAAATGGGCCCCATTGAAGTTCAACAGTCTTCAAGCTTTTTTGTGTCACTGGATGTGTTGAAGTTGCAACATTACTGAAGTGTAGCTGAAATACAGTACTGTATATTTCTGCAAAACGCCACTGCAAGGTGCATGCAGTCAATGCGCGGTAAGTAAGAACACAATGCCTTATAAACTGCAGGGCTCAAGCAAGTGTGATTGTATAACTCATTATTGCATAAATCGTTATTGTAATAGCTTCATTATATGGGGCTTTTTTAAGAGTATATCTCCAACAGCTTCTCTTCCAATGCAGAATAATCCAGAAATCCTAATCCTCCACTGCTTGTTTTTCAACAAACTTAAGTACAGTCATCTTTTATCTCTCCATGGATGGGAGAGAAAAAGGTATTGAAAAAAATGAGAGTTCAGCTTCCTCGTGGTTGAAAACCAAACAATATCAAAGATTTTGAAACTCATTTCATGTTATGGCAAGCTCATGAGACTCACCACAATATCCCAACACTCACCCATTACATAAAGCCGGACAACCTAGCCACCTGAGTAAACAGCAATCACTATATGGTGGTAAGGGAGGTGCAATCTACACCAAGTAACACAGACTGCATTATTAGAGAACAACTAGGGAAGGAGAAGGCAGAATTCACATCAGTGAAGTGGTGAACTGGCCACCTGATAGTAGTTGTGGTTGTCCTTCACTCCACCACCAGGCAGGCAGCCAGCTCTGTTGTGGGGATTTTGCAGTTGGGCAAGGCCAAGGTAATCAGCTCTCACAGCTCCAACGACAATGATTTATGACACCACAGACACTTCGTCTTTTTCAGTTGCTTACACATATGAACCCAGAACCAACTCTACACATCCTCCAGTCTACACAAAATCTCCTAAACTCCAGAAAATGCGGCTACCGTGTCAACTTTTCTTTCACATCACAGCACCATGGAAGACATTACAGTTTTACACACATGGGCTACCAGTGCACACTGACTTAGGTGCTGCATGAGCTTTTCCTTATCCTAACACCCTATCAACAGGTAAGTACCACTGTACCTGCAAATGCAATTTGCACAACATAGCTCACAGGAAGCATCTGGGACCTCAGCTTGTCTTGGAATCTGAATCTGCTAGGGAGAAGACAGCTTGGAAGTAGCCTAGCAAACTTGTCAGCAGACAAGGACAGTCAGTATCATTAGGTCACCTCCACCACACAACACTGCATTTTTAAACACTAAAATCATTGACTATTTTGACATTTATAGAAAGACTTGCAACTACAGAGAAGATAAATGCTAGACCTGTTTAGATTTAAAAGAGTGTATTACTTGCACACTTTTGTAAGAAGCCAAATTCCGAACTCGTGATCTACACAGGGTATCTGAGAGAGCCTAAAGGTCAGGGTCAGCATCGCAGGTGGTCCTCCTGAGTGTATAAAAATTGATGTGTCTTAGACAGATTTCAGGCTCAGCCTTTGTACATGATGGTATTTAAAAAGAGTAGACGTATGAATGCATACACATACCACCAATATACTCATACTGTGGGAGCACCAGAAGGCCCCCAGTAGAGAGTATGTGTGACAAACACATAATAGAAGCCAGCTTTTACAGGTAGAAAACTGAGGTATAGACAAAGTCTTTAATTATTTCTGGTCAAAATTATTTGGAAGGGCAAGGAATCTAATTCCTGAATTTTTGCCTAGTACCCTCACAATGTGATCATCCTCCTGTAGAGTCTGCATTGTAAGAAGACAACTTTAATCTATATGTGTTTGTGTGTTACTTCTGGCATTTGGTGCTCAGAGAATGCAAGTCCCCTGCTAATCCTGAGAGGTATTCTGCTAGATTGGGTGCCAGAAGTTCCAGGCTCTGTCATCTCCACTGATCACGTCTCTACTGATCAAAGCTAGTCAAAGTTATATCTTACAGTTTTCAATACGCAAGACTTCACAGTGCATAATCTCCTGAGGTTCCATTATTGAGCAGAACTATTTCTCACTAACACATTATTCCTGAATTTAATTTTATTTTTGCATCTTCACATAGTAAGATATGCTTTACAGTCCAACAACTGAATTATAAATCTCAGTCCATACTGTGGACAAAGAGTGTAGAATTTCACATTTATTCTGAATGCTGCTTTCTTAGAGGAATGCATGGAAAGTAACCAAACGGGCTATTTTTGGACACTCAATTAAGAAGGAGAGAGAGAGGAGTTCAGGGAAAGAAACACCCATGCTGATTTTAATCAAGTTTTGTTGACTAGGTAAAGGAGATATAAAACATCTCGTCAGGGAAAGAATTAGATTGCCAAATT